GTCAAACCCCAAAAAAAAAAAAAAAAAAAAAAAAAGTGGAAGAGGCCAGATTTAATCCCCAGTAAATTTTAAAAACTTCTCAGAAGATGGAAGATGGCTTAAAATACTGATGGTGATGTTCCTTCTTATATTATTTGTTTTTTTCAAAATTTTCCCCAGGTAATTTTATTTCAGAATGGAGAAAAGTGCATGTAATTTTAAAGGAAAAAGGAAAAACTAAAGGCTGAGATGCTTTGCAGTCTTTTCAGACTTGGACATTTGCCCCACATCTCCTTATTAGATTGCACTTTTCGCTCGAACTGATTGCACTTGAACTGATAATGGGGAAATTTTTCTTTTTCTTTTAGAAAAATGTTATAGACTTCCTGGCTCCCCTGAAGCCAGTGGCCGTTCGGATAGTGAGAAATGCTCACGGGAACAAAACAGGTAAGGTCGCGGGCATGTCTGGGCAGGAGAGAGCAGGCGCCCCAACCTTTGTAGCCCTGGGGACCGGGTTCAGGGGAGAGTTTTCCCACTGGCCAGGGCAGGGTTGGGCTGACTCGAGGAAGCACGGCCTAGAAGCCCCACGCATAGTTCACGGTAGGGTTTGTGCCCCTGTGAGAGTGACCTGGCAGGAGGCGGGCTCAAGTTCAGCTCCCTGTGCGGCCCGGTACCTGACAGTGCATGGTCCGCGGTGCAGGGACTGGGGACTCCTAGACCCAGATATACAGGTCAAAGGTCAGGGCCACTTGTTTACAGTAAAAGCTTTGAGGACAACCTCTCACTCTGTCTCTCTCTCTCTCTCCCTCTCTTCTTCTTTTTTTCTCTCTTTTTGTGGTCCTCAGTTCTGTGGATGTGATTAAACTGTTTAGGACTCTTGTCCCTGCCCCTGGCTGCCTGGGTTTTACCTGTACCTCCTCACCCCAGCCTCTGCTTACCCACAGGCACTCCTGCTCCCTTAGGTTGACACCCACAGGTCTGCTGTTGCCGGGCAGGCGTGCTGGCAGGTGGGGCCCTACCTTCCAGCCTGTGTGCTGCGCTATCCAGGCTCCGCCCTTGGCCGGTGTCCCCTAACCCCTGGCCTCACAGCCCTGGGTCTGGCTGCCCCGAGGTGGGGATCCCGGGGGAACTGGGTGCTTGCCACCAGCCTGTTGCTGGCCAGGCCAGGGGAAGCAGTGGCAGAATGGCCACATCCAGACCGAGGCCGTGTGGCCGTGAGAATCCAGCACTGCAGGGTGGTGGCATCCTAGGCAGGAAGAGGCTGCTGGGAAAAGCGATGGAGGTTTCCCAGGCAGCACTCGAGGAGGAAAGTGCTTGTGCCTCAGGGTTTCTGGCCCCTTCCTGGCCTGTGCTCCCTTCTTCCCTGGCCGCCTCTTAGCCCCAGGGCCCGCTCACCACGCTGATGCATGCGACTGGCCTTCCTGCTGTCCTTGCACACTCATTGGGGTGCAGTGGGGGGGCAGGAGAGAGAGCCTGGCCTCACATTCCGGTCCTCTGACTTGGACAGGGGAGACAGCCTCGGCGTCCATGTCAGCACTGTAGGCTGAGCCTGTCATCCTGGAGGGAGTCAGAGCTGACGCTGGGACAATGAGAACCACTGTGAATGTGGTCAGGGTGTCCCCCCGCTTGGGGACCAGACAGAGAGTGGAAAGGAGCATCTTGGGGCTGCCCAGGCTGAGAGAGAACCATCTGGGGGCCGCTGGAGAGAGCCAGCATGGAGCAGCTCACTTTGCGGGTAGCCAGCGTCCCTGCGGAAGAGCTGGGAAGAACCAGGGTGGGGCCTCGGGCCTTGGCCCACTGGGCTTTGGGCAGGGAGGGCGGCGCAGATCAGCACGGCCCCCAGCTGGTGGAGCGGCCTGGAGCAGGGCCTGTAGAGGCTGTAGCACTCCCGGTGTGAGCTGGGCCCTGTGGCCGTGGAGAAGAGCAGGAGGGGACGGCATGGAGGATGTTTACGGGGTAGATGAGGTGCATGTGTGGGGGCCGAGGGAGAAGGACTCGCAAAGGGAATCTGAACGGCCTCGTGACGGAGACAGAAAACCCACGGGCTTTGTACCAGGTTGCACCTTTGCCACATAGCCCTGTGCCCTCTCCTGTGTCACCTAACGGGGCCCCTGGTGAGGGGAGGGCGTGGGAGGCCTCCCAAGCCCCCATTTCTGCACAAGTCAGGCCTCAGGAGCAGAGGGGTCCCAAAGATGGCTCCTGGTGCTGAGCTGGACACAGTTCTGCCACCCCTGGCAGAGAATGTGGTGGGTGGGAAGAGGCGAGGAGGAGGCCGAAGACCTGCGTGTGACACCTGGTGCCTGGCGTCTCAGCCACAAACCAGGCCTTGGGGTTTGATTGCCCCTCGCGGGGGCTGGGCCGGCCTGGGCAGCATCCGTTTGTTTTCGGAGATTTAGCAAAGATGGGCTCCCCGACTCTGCACCCAGCACAGGGCGGGTGTCCCTGTGACTCCCACGAGCTCACCTCTGCCGTCATCCTCTCAGGGTACATCTTTGTGGATTTCAGCAGCGAAGAGGAAGTGAGGAAAGCGCTGAAATGCAACCGGGAGTACATGGGTGAGGAGCGCTGAGTGGGGCGGTCAGAGGGCATGCGCGTGCGTGCGTGTGCATGTGTGTGTGTGTGTGTGTGTGCGCACGCGCCCTCGGCCAGGCACTGCTGTGGGCACCAGCAGTGCAGCAGTGAGCAAGGGGAACACAGTCCCTGCCCCTGCAGCTGCCACAGCAGGGAGATGGACGGTGAGGAGTAAAGGAGCAGCCGCTGTATGGGGGAAGCAGCAGGCGAGACTCCCGTGGAGTGTGGCAGGGGCTGACCGTGTCTGTCACAGGAGTGCATCTGCTGTGGCCTGGCCGAGGGATGACAGTCCCAGAGTCGGGCAGGTGTGATCTCTGATCTGTCCCTGGTCTGGGAGTGATTGGATCCTGCCGTGTGTTCTCAGGAAGCCAGAAACTTGGTGGGAGGTGTCCTCGAGCTCCTGGGGTGCGTGTGGGACACGAGTGATAGGAGAGCTGCTTAAGCGCACGGATGCAGCAGACAGTAGAACCAGAGATCCGGGCCTGGAACTCAGGATGTGTCCCTGTGGTCTGGGGTGGCCCAGGTCACAGCTGCACTGCCCCAGTGAGGTTCCTTGGACCCAGGCTGCACCCCCGTTCACCTGGGCTAGGGCGTCTGGAAGACGGCAGAAAAGAGCCTAGACTCACCGGCAGAGGTTTCTGTAATCCCCCACCCCGGCCCTGAGCCCTGTCCTCTTGTAGGTGGACGCTATATCGAGGTATTCAGGGAGAAGCAGGTCCCCAAGGCCAAGGCGCCCCTGAAGGGCAGCACCAAATCTTGGCAAGGCCGCACGCTCGGGGAGAACGAGGAGGAGGAGGACCTGGCTGACTCTGGGCGGCTCTTTGTGCGCAACCTGCCCTACACCAGCACGGAGGAGGACTTGGAGCAGCTCTTCTCCGCCTACGGTAGGCATCCCCTCCAGGCCACCAGAGCGAGACACGGGGCTCCAACGCAGCCTGAGCCAGCTCCTGACCTCGGAGCTCCAGCCTGCATCTCCTTTGTCCCGATTGACTCTGGGGCTTGCTGTCCCTGAGCTGCCACAGGCTCAGACTTGTCTCCTGCCGTCCGAACTCCAGCCCTCCACTCCTGCTCTCTCAATGTAACGCTGTGGGGGTGGAGCTGTCTCCCTTGCTGGCCACATCCCGCCTGTCCACGCCCCTTGGCCCAGGAAACCTTTGCTGCCCAAAGTCTTGTGTGCAGCCCAGCTGTTGGCAGTGGGGGCCGGTTCTGTGCTCACCCAGCTGTGTCCTCACACACATCCTTGTGTGCCTGTAGCTCAGCTCGGTCACGTAGGCTGTGTGGGTGTCGAAGGGAAGGAATTTGGCCTCTGAGAGGGACAAGGGCTTGGTGCCCGTGTGGGCCCATGGTTTCCTGGAGGCCGGTCAGGGTCTGCGCAATTGCATGGAAGCGGCAAGAGGCCCCGAGCTGTGGGCAGGGGGGCGTCATCTCTGGCCAGTGTCCACCCGTCCTGCTCACCAGGTTCTTCCACGTGGGCTGGGCAGGGGGAGGGGCTGACCGCGTGTCACCTGTTAGCATGTTCCATCCTGGCCAGATGCCCTCATGCCGTGGTCCAGTGAGAAGCCAGTACGTGTGCCGTCTGAGTGACAGGCTGCAGGGCGTACCTAGAGCTTGGTCACCCTGCGCCAAGTGGCCTGAGGGACTGACATGTCTCCTGTCCTCAGGGCCCCTGTCGGAGCTGCACTTCCCCATCGACAGCCTGACCAAGAAGCCCAAGGGCTTCGCCTTCGTCACCTTCCTGTTCCCAGAACATGCCGTGAGAGCCTACGCGGCTGTGGACGGGCAGGTGTTCCAGGTGAGGGCTCAGGCGGTCGGAGGGCTGTGGGCGTGTGTGCATGTGCGCACATGTGTCTGGGTCTCCGGCCTGAGAACCCGCGGTGCCTGCTAGGCTGTGACCTCAGAGAGCTGCTGCGGGTTAGAGTGAGACCCTCCCCTGGGGCAGGGCCCACGCCCCTCACCGACACTGAGAACAGCACCTGGCACAGAGTGGGCCCACAGTATTTGTTGAGTGAATAAATGTGTTTTTTGCTGCCAGAAATACCTCCTTGGCTGAGGCTGAGGCAGGAGGATCACCAAGTTCAAGCCCAGCGTGGGCAATTTAGAGAGACCCTGTCGCCACAATTTTAAAGCGGGGGCTGGAGGTGGAGGATGTAATCCAGTGTGCAGGCCATGAGTTCAATCCCCAGTTCTGTAGAATAAAGAAAAAAGAAAGAGATTTGCCGTGGGCGAGGACAGTGACTGCTTAGGGTTGTGTAGGGTGCTGTCCTCATCCGGGTGTCCCCAGGGGAAGGGCTCGGCTCACCCTAATCCCAGGCTGCCTCGTTGCTTGGTCCTTTCTTCTTCCTTTCTGTTGCGGTCACCAGGCCACGTCTTCCCACTCAGATGCATGGGGCCGGCTTCCTTCCCCCTTCCCCGGGCCTCATCAGCCCGGTCAGTGCGCAGTCACCCTGCTGGCGTCCCCGCCCCCCAGTCACAGCCTCCGCCAGTCGTGGGCATCCTCGGGCTGTCCTTCACCCCTCACCCCGCCCCACAGGGCAGGATGCTGCATGTGTTGCCGTCCACCATCAGGAAGGAGGCCAGCGAGGAGGCCGCTGCCCCGGGGTCATCTTACAAGAGGAAGAAGGACTCCAAGGACAAAGCCAACAGCACCAGGTCCCTGTCAGCGGGCAGGGGCCTCCGAGCCCCTTTGCCCGGTCCTTTTGCTCTCTGCAGTGGGTTTGGTCCAGAGCCTCCCCGGCCTCGGTTTCTTTATCTGAAATGGGGCACGCAGTGCGGTGCCTCAGTTGTGCGGTGTCGGTGTTGTGTGGCACAAGCCCGGCCCAGAGATGCTGGTTGACACCTTAGAGCAGCTGGTGCCACTGTCTGTCCCGGCCTCAGGCCTGTGTACTGAGCCCGGGAGGGGAAAGGCGGACCCGGAGTGCATCTCCCACCCAGCCACCCCATGACGCCCCTGCCTCTGCCCCTCAGCTCCCACAACTGGAACACGCTGTTCATGGGGCCAAATGCCGTGGCCGACGCCATCGCACAGAAGTACAATGCCACCAAGAGCCAAGTGTTTGACCATGTGAGTGGGCCGTGTGCACGCGCGAGTGTCTCCACACGTCGTGTTTTCAAACGCGCATATCCAGCAGCAGGCGCCAGCCGCATGGAGTGTCCCCAGTCCGGTGACAGGCGTCCACTGCTGGGGCCCGTTGCTTTTACCCTCCGCCCCAGACTCCCAGGGCCAGGGCTGTCAGAAGTGGAGCGCACGCTGCCTCTGTGACTGGATTCCCATGGCTGTGTTGCAAAAAGGCAAAATTATGAATGATTTTAGTAATACATTTTACTGAATATATCCAAAATATTACTTCAACATAGGGACAGCGTTAAATAGAGTTACCAGGTATTTTTCATTCTTTTCTTTCATATTAAACCCAGTGTGTTTTTGAGACTCGGCACCATGCTGATTTGAACTTGTCCAGTTCCTGGCACGCCGTGGCTCTGTGGCTCATGGCCTAAGTCGAGGGGGGATGCAGGGCTCGTGCACCACCTGTCCCCTCTGAGCCACAGCGCCGGGATGGAGAGAGTCCCCAAGGAAAGACCCTGGGCGTGAACCGTGAAGCCTAGGGCAGTGTGGGCAGGCAGCAGGGCCACACAGGAGCAGGAACTGTGGGGTGAGGGGCTGGGGGTAGGAGCCCTCCGAGACCAATGTCACAAACTGCGGGAATAGCAGGCCGGGCAAGTAGGAGAAGCAGCAGAGATCCACTGCCTGGAAGGAGAAAGGGGCAGAGGGCAGCGCGGGAGTCTGGAGGGGTCCGTGAGGTCCCAGATGTTCTGGGTGTGACATGGCAGGCCAGAGCCTCCAAGCACATCAACTATTGATGGGCCGTGGGCGCTTCCTTTCCTCTTCCGACAGGAGACCAAGGGCAGTGTGGCTGTGCGCGTGGCCCTGGGGGAGACGCAGCTGGTCCAGGAAGTGCGGCGCTTCCTCCTCGACAGTGGGGTGTGCCTGGACTCCTTCAGCCAGGTGGGTCCTCGCTGCCTTCCGGCCGACTGCCACTGGAGCCTTATGTAGGGGAATCCTGCAAGCTGGCTGGTCATGTGTCCCACCAAAGGGCAGGGTACCCCAACTCCCGCCCTGTGAGGGCCTGGGCACTTGCTGCTTCCCACAGCCTTGGTGCCAGGCAGTAGGAAGGAGCCCTGGGCATGGAGGCACAGCCCTGTCACAGGAAGCCCGGCTGGGGTGTTCTGGAAGGTCCAGCTAGGGCTGCCCGTCGGGATCTGTGTCTCACAGGCCGGGGGCTGTGATGAGGCTCATGAGCCATGGGCGCCTCCCCCAAGAGTGGCCCCTCATCCAGGGAACCAGTGCGCCTCGGCTCTGCTGCCCTGGGACCCGAACACCACTGATCTGTGCTGGTGCCGGGCTGAGGAGCCCCTCCTGTTGGCCCATGCATGACTGTCCCCCACCACCCCCACCTGTGCAGGCCACAGCGGAGCGAAGCAAGACGGTGATTCTGGCCAAGAACCTCCCGGCAGGCACCCTGGCGGCCGAGCTGCAGGAGATCTTCGGCCGTTTCGGCAGCCTGGGCCGCGTGCTACTGCCAGAAGGTGGCATCACAGCCATCGTGGAGTTCCTGGAGCCCCTGGAGGCCCGCAAGGCCTTCAGACACCTGGCCTATTCCAAGGTAGGGCTGCCGAGCCATGGCTTCGTGTGGGCAAGGACCAAGGGCCGCTTTGGGCTCAGGACACGGGAGCTGCCGGGCCAAGCATGGCTCCTGCCCGGCTCGGGCCTCCCTGGGCTTCCGTTCCCAGGCCACCTTGACATCCCTCTTGCTACTCTCGCTGCCCTGTACCTACAGGAGACGAAAGGCAGTGCTGTCCCTGCGCCTGTTTCCTAATTCTGGGTTACAAAACAGGGAAACAGTGGCAGTAGATTGGTTTTCTGGGGCTGCCGTAACCAGTCAGCATGTGAACTCAGGCCTGCGGCAGCAGGAACGTCTTCTCCCACCACGCTGGCAGCGGAGTCCAAAGCCGAGGCATCGCGGGTCCAGGCTCCCCGGGGCTCTGGCCCAGTCTGTCCCCTGCCTCTTCTGTTCCGGTCGGGTCCCGGCGCCTTGGCCTGTTGCACCCTGCAGGCCCCGCCTCCCCTTCTCACATCCCCTTCTCCTTTGGGCCTGGCGTCCCTCTGGGCTCCTCCTACAAGGACACTTGGGATTGGCAGCCACCCTCAGTCTCACCAGGGACCCTTCCCTAGTGACCTTTGCAGATGAGGTCCCATTCACAGGTTTCGGGGGGTCAAGAGGTGACTGCGTGTTTGGGGAGCCACTGCCCACGTGCTAGAGTTGCTCTGTCCCTGCGAGCAGGAGTGGTGATTCCCATCCTCTGCTGCCCCGGGCTGTGACAGTCCCCTGCTCAGGGCTCGGTACCCACTCAGCTCCCAGGTCAGTGCCTGACCCCCAGCACAGTTAGCAGATTTGAACCCCATTTCCCCTGACTGGGGACGCCCAAAGAAACGCAGTCACCCAAACACTGTGGCAGTGTGCGCAGCAGGTGTCTTTGTTTTGACAGCGTCTGTTCCTCCAGCTCCTCCCATCAGTATCTGTTCCCATTCTGCACATGGGGCAGCTGAGGCCCAGTGACCCTGAGCCACAACAGCCACGGAGTGGTGAATCCAGGGGCAGGAGCGCCCACCTGTCTCTCTCCCATGCCTGTGTTTTCTTCAACCCAGTGAGGCATGTGTGAGGCATGGAATCTGAAGATTCTCAAAGAGCGTAGTCGCCAGGGCTCCCTCCCACCCCATCCTGTCGCTACCCAGTTGCCTTCTGAGGCTGCTGTTTCGGTGTCTCCTTTATCCTTGAAATAAACCAAACAAGGTGGGCAGACATCGGCCTCCCCCTTGAGCCCTGAGGTCAGCGTAGGCCTGGGTGTGGCTCTCGGGCCCTTCGGCCCCCTCGGCGGAGTGCTGCCCAGAGGCCTGCAGTGTGGATGCCCTCTCTCCGCAGTTCCACCACGTGCCCCTCTATCTGGAGTGGGCCCCCATCGGCGTCTTCTCCAGCACAGCCCCGCGAGACAAAGCACCCCAGGACACACTGGCACAGCCTTCAGGAAAGGACGGGGCGGAGCCAAAAGCCGGTAAGAGCAGCATCTGAGCTCAGGGCACGGAGCAAGGGGCAGCTTGACATAGTTCCTCAGGCCCCAGTGCGGGCCAGCAGGTCTGAACGTCAGAATAGGGTGCTGTGCCAGGCGCCCAGCTTTTAGTTTGTCGGTTAGAGGTTGTGAGGAAGAAAACCTAAAATCTGTTAATAGGGATTCAGGGCAGAGCAAGTAGAAACCACCTCTTTGATAGATGGTTCCTGGGCCCCTATAAGTGACTTTCCTGCGTCCTTACACAGCACCCCCTCATGTCCAGTGGCTGCAAGGCAGAAAAGGGAAGGGCAATGGAGGCCTCTGGGGACAGCACAGGCTCCCTTGGACCCCAGCTAACACCTCACAGCTGGGTCGAGTCGGCATCGTTGGCATTTGAGGCAGGACAGTGCCCCCTTGCCTGGCCTGCTGTGCAAATGCCAGACCTTTCTCACCCCTGGACTTCACCCAGGGTGTGTCAGCAGTGTCTGGTCGCTCCCCTTCAGTCCCAATGCCACCCAGGGGTGGTGCAGCCTCCAGAGAGAACCGTTGAGTCTGGGATCATGACCGTGTCTTAGAGTCCGAGACCCCAAGGAAAGTTTTGAGGACTGTGGAAGTCATTTTACCAAGACATTAAGCTCTCACCAGTAGTGGCAGCCCCCCCAAAGAATTACCCCCAGCACAGTTCCATAGTAAGTCCCCTGTCCGCTATTCCCCATTGTTCTCATGTATTTCTTTTTTGGTTTTTTGGTGGGTTTTTTTGTTGTTGTTTGTTTGTTTGTTTGTTTGTACCAGGGATTGAACACAGAACCTTCTGTTTTCGAGGCAGGCAGCAGAACCACTGAGCTAAATTCCCAGCCCCTGTTATCATGTATTTCTTTAAAAACAAAACAAAACATGAAAAATAACATTTTTACAGCAAAGAAAAAAAAAAAAAAACAGGTGGTGAAGAAGCAAAATTGTCAGGTGAAATCCACAGCAAGTGCTATCCCTGTCCTTGTCCACACAGCTGACGTCCCGTCTCTCTGAGGGTCTCAGGACCGGCCCGCTGGTACACGGCATCTGGGACCCTCAGGTCTGGAAGCCTTGCTCTCACAGGAAGGAGAACTCTCGGGTCGCTTTGCCCTCTGATGATTCAGGGTATCCCAAGCCATTGGGTCAGTGATGACTTAGTAGAAACCTTAAGGGCCCCCGAGCCCCATTTACAAGTCAGCTTTGCTATTGTCAGGAAATTTTCTACGTGATCCTGGTTTTTCCTGATCTGCCATGACCTTACCTTGGTTCTTGGTTCTTGGTTCCTACCTTTGAGTCTGCATGTGGCTCTGTGGCCCAGAATGAGTTGTGTGAAACACAAGCTTGGCCAGGGTTCAGGGTGCTGAAGGCGAGCCTGAAGGGGACCTCTTCTTCCCTGCTGTGTCTGCTATGCCTAGGTGGCCATTTCCGTGTCCATCCGAGTGACTCCCTCCCTTTGCTGTGTTGTGTTCTTCTGTGACACAGGTTGCCACACGTATTCTTTTGTTTGTTGCACTTGTTTTGAATCCAGCTATGAACCCTGAAGGCAGGGCAGGCTGTCTCCTTCCCTGCTGGGGCCACACACACCCCACCCACACCCACACTCGGGCCCAGGCGTAAGGTGGTTCCACAGGTGTGTGTGAGAGTGAGTGACTGCGGGAAGTGCCTTGGTCACACTTGTCACACTGTCTGAGGTCTCAGCCCCTGGCACACGTGAGGTTTAAAGGTTGTTAGCCAGCCTCAGCACCCGTGGTGACAGCCACTCCGCCAGCCACCATAGCAGAAGCAGCTCCTGTTTTGCCCACCCCAAGTGCTCCTCGACTGTGTCTCACATGCCTCTCCCTTCCTGGTGTGGCAGTGTCTGAGTTTGTTTGCACTCAGAAGTCCCCTGCCCCAGCTGGCCTGGGAGCCTGCCCACCTGGCAGGGGCTGGGTGGGAAGGGGCGTGTGCCCACAGCGGGAGTCTCTGTCTTCCTTCCGTGGGGCTCAGGCACAGTTGGCCCTGTCCTCCCTGGCTCTGTACGGGCAAGCGTCTCCTTTGGAGGCTCAGTTTCTGTGTCTAAAATGGGGCAATGGCCACACGGCTCCTGGGGGCCTTGTCGAGGTTATAGGGAGATGCTCTGTGCAAATCCCCTCTCCTCCCATGGGCTGGGAGCTGAGCGGCAGTGTCAGAGTGCACAGAGGAGTCCCTTTGTGACACAGACCCTCTGCCCCAGGGGCTGTCGGGCTGGTGCGAGAGGTCTCCGGTGGCCCTGGGTGCAGACCCAATGGGAGAGCCAGAGACTCAGATTCTGGAGTCAGAGCGCACCCTGCCCCAGGCCCAGGTCCAAACTTCAGTGTCCCCGACATGCCGTACTGCTCAAGGGGGCCGCTGGCTGGAGGAGGGCCCAGAAGTGCAGGTCTGTGCTTGTGCCAGGCCCTGCCAGCTTTGCACCCTGTCTGGGCTTCCTCTGAGCCCTCGGTGGGCCCTGCGCAGCCCCTCCCTGTCCCTGGTCCCCTGAGCCTGCCTCCTTGCCTGCTCCCACCCCCCTCGCCCCCACACCTGTCCCTGAGATCCCCTCATCCCCACTCCCCTTGGCGCAGGAGGGAGAGGCGGAGCTTCTCCTCAGCAGCTGCTCCGCTCCGTGCACCTCCTTTCTCCATGCCAGCCTCCGGGGAGGGGGTGGCGTGTTTTATCTCCCCACCACCAAGACCCTCACCTCCAGATAAAGGGCTCAGCGTGGGGGAGCTCGGCAAATCTGCTCGCCACTGATAACAGTCTGTGCTGCCAGCCCAGCCCCGAGCCGGCTCGGGGCGGGGAAGCGCTGTCTGCGG